GGGGTGGGGACACCCTCTGGGCCATCACGCTTCGCGCCAAGAAAGGCAAACGTGTGCGAGCGGAGCGGGAGGTGTGTGGGGGGGTCACACTCCCAAAGCCACCAACTGAGGGTCCCCTTGTGCCTGGGATGCAGGGATGCTGGGGGCATCCCCACCCAGGGCTACCCCTGCCCAGGATCACAGCACCCCCGGGGTCTCCTTCAGCACCTCGGCTTCTCCAAGAGTGGTTTTGCCGCAGTTTTGCTGGAATCGGAGACTTTCACTGCTAGGCAGGGAGGATCTGCCACAGTAATTAGAAGCCATAATCCGGCCACCACCCACAACAAATTTCCTGTCCGAGCAGATATTAGTGGATAAAACCCTAATTTTTGACGTTGTCCCAGAATCAGCTTGATTTCAGCAGTTTACGTTCAGGCTGAGCTGTTGGGAGAGATGATGAAGCCTTAAATATGCATATGGCCTAGGCATTTGGAAAGTTTGGGGATAAAGCGCGTATAATTGCTCCTAATCAGTTTATGAAACATAAAAGCTCAAACCCAAGAGAAAGCCGATAGATGCAGAAATGGAAATAGCGATTAAATCTCCCCACGCTGGCGAGGTGGCCTGGATACGGCGCAGCCGCCCAGGGCAGAGGGTGGCCGTGACAGTGCTGGGGGGACAGGGGATGCGCTCGCTCCTGGGATGGGGCTACAGGACAGGGCTGGGGGACACACACGTGCTGCCACTGCCGACTCCCCCGGCCATGGTGGAGAGGGGCATCCCCACCCCTCCTTTGGACAATAAATCAGTTAAAGGATATCTTGATATATGCTCATCAGATAGGATTAGCTGGGATTAGACTAATCAGTAAATGTTTCTCTGCTCATTATTTTCCAGGGAAGATTTTCAGCTGATTCTCCGACGCCGAAAGATTATTAATCGCTTAAAGAGCAGAACATCAAACATCGCCCCTTGCTCTAATTTCCCCGGGGTTCACCCCCCCCCGCCATGGGCAGCGTAGGGCGCCTGCGCCAACCGGCCAGGCAGCTTCAGGGTGCCCCAGCACCCAGCATCACCAGGAGGGCTCCAGCCCGGGTGGACGGAGGTCACAGAACCCCGTCCCCGGTCCCAGGGCTGGGTGCTGCCCGCAGCCGATGCTGGAGCACCCCTGTCCCCTGCGCTCTGCTCCCCGCTGTGCTTTGCAGGACTTGGGGCACAGCGAGGTGGGACAGTCCCCGAGGTGTCCCCTCCTCCCCGTGGCTGCTCCAGCATCATGTCAGGCACCAACTGTGCCCTGCAGCACCCTACGGGATGGCATCGGGAGGGCACCCGGGAGCGGACGGGTGCCTGGGGCTGTCCCCTTCAGAGACAGGGGAGAAACCTTGCAAGTCCTTGGGGGATTACAGATATGTGCAATATTTTGGCAGACCCTCCTCAGCCAATGACAGCTCCCTAGCCACGTGCTGGTGGGTTTTTGGGGCCCCTGTCCTTGCAGGGACATGAAACTTTGGGGAAATCCCAGAAGGATGCGCATTCTCCTTGCAGCCACCTGCTGTAGCGATGAGGAGGGGATAGCAAGGAGAAGGTATTGAAGGGCCTGGTTTAGGGGATTAGTAATGGGATAAGACAGCTTTCACCTCCCTGGTTTAGATATGAATCAGGTCAATAATAAAAGACCATCTGACAGTTTCAGGCAGCTCAGGGTGGAAGAGGCTCCCGTGCTCCAGGCTGGATGGAGAACCCCTCTCTGAAAGTCCGTCTCCTGCAGCACACCCACCTGTTGGATGGACACTCACCGGCAGTCACAGCCTGGTGCTCCCCGCCGGCTCCATGCCATACTCCTGGCAACCTGGCGCAGGAGCGATGTTGGAGCC